CGTCAGGAGAAAGATGGACAGCCTCCTCCTGTGTGATTTAGAGCCTGTGAAAACCCACTGGAGGATTAGGCTGGTTCCAACTCAAGGGTGCATGAAAACAACAATCTGAAGTTTGGCAGTTTGAAACCATCCGGTGGTGACAAGGAAGGGAGACCCGGTGGTCGGTTTCCATAAAGATCACATCCACAAAAACCTCTGTGGGGAGGCCGCCTCTAACACATGGGTTCCCATGAGGTGGGGTTGACTGGATGGCAGTGGGGTTGTGTTGGTTCTTTGGTTCTTGTTGCTGGCCTGTGCTCTCCTCAGCTCCCTTACATGTCGGCTTCACATGGCTGTTAAAGACGTTACCGGTGGAGGTGCATGTGGAGAGCAGGGTGTGAACAGTCGGACTTGTGTCGTCCTGGGTTTCCTTCTCAGATACCTTCAGACACAGAGGCCACCTCCTAAGCAGTTGGACACCTTCTGGGCTGGTCACTTCAGGGCTGGGGAGCAGTGGAGGTGACAGGCAGTAGCTGAAACAGGAGAGGTACCTGCTAGGTTCCACTTGTAATGTCTTCGTCCAGTTCTGTAGCAGGTGACTGAAGACACACTCCAGTTTTAAAAACTTCTGAACATCTGCTCATGCAGCTTCCTCTGTCTAGAAGACTTTTCCCTTTTAATATCTCATCTTTTCTCTGGTCCCTTCCTCCCTCAGCCACAAATAATCTGCCGCTCTCTGAGCTCCTGGGGCCCTTATCTCCTGTCCTACAGCCTTATTTCTGCTTACTGTCATGCTCACTTCTCTATCTGACTCGGCTTGTCTTTCCTATCAGCCAGAAAGCCCGCAAGGACACGACCATCCCTGCCCACTCTGTGGCCTTCGCAGCTGTCCCCGGAGGCCTTCCTGGACAGTCGGGCTGTCCCGACTGTGTGGGGTGGCTGCTAGGTGTGGAGACACCTGTGGTTTTCCTAATGTTCCATAACTACCACCTGGCTTCCAGTCAGAGGCCAGGTGGGACACTGCTGCAGAAAGTGATGGGATGAGAATCTCTGTACGAGTGGACGTAGACTGCCCAGAAGACCTGGGGGGTGGTCGTCCTCAGCCTCCTGCCATGTCCTCATTGGCTCATCACCTTGGGAAAATGTTGTTATTGTGTTGTACCATCAAGTCGAGACCCACTCATAGCTAACCTTTAGAAGATTTTCAGAGGCAGTAAATCTCAAGGGAGTTGTTTGCCCGTCTTTCTCCTACGGAGCAGTTGGTGGATTTGAACCATGTGCCTTTGGGTTGACAGGGCAGTTCCTTAGCACTAGGCCACCAGGTCTCCAGATTGCCAGCCCCAGCTCAGCCCTATGGATTCAAAAACCCAGGGCGGGGACCCTAACAAGCCCTGCTTAAACATGCCCTCCCAGTGGCTCTGATGAGCAGTCAGGAGAGCCACTCCATAGAACGCAGACCTTGGGCTTGAAGTCTGGTCTCCTGGGTTCCAGTCCTAGCTCCCCAGTTTAATGATGACATGCGACGGACTCATGGTACTGCCTTGTTGGATTCTCCTCTCACGAGGATCGGTTGTACGGTTGTTGAGTCGGTTCTGATGGATAGCGACCTGTTAGGTCCCCAAGGCTGTAAATCTTTATGGGAGCCGGCATCTCATCTCTCTCTCCCTTGGAGTCACTGGTGGATTCAAACTGCTGACCTTTTGGTTCACAGTCCAGTGTATTCCACACTACACCACCAGGGCTCAGGGAGGATCCATCATCTCGTCCCTTTGCCATTGCCTCGGAACCAACTCCTAACGGACCCTGCACTGGGTTTCCAAGGCTGTAAATCACACCCGAGGAGACTGCCCGTCTTTCTCCTGTGGAGCCATCGGTGGATTTGACCCCCAGAAAGGTGCGACCTTTGAGTTAGCAACTCTCTCTAGACGGTGGCACTAGAGTTCTGTTAGGATCGATGTTGTTGTGTGTCATTGAGTCAGAACCGACCCATAACTGACCCTCCACTGGGTTTTCAGGGCCTGTAGATCAGATCACACGGGAAGAGATGGTCTATCTTTCTCCCAGAGAGCAGCTGGTGGATTCGAACCATGTGTTTTTGCATTAGCAGTGCACTTCCTTATTACTGAGCCACCAGAGTTCCCTGTTAGGATCAGTCGTGGTCCTTAAACGTTCCTGTAACACAAGATCGCCCGGGACACCGTTTTGCAGTACAGTGGCACTTCTTTAATCATGGAGACGAACACGCATTCACAGTGCCTGAGCCCCCCGCCTGGGCCGGAGTCCGCCGCACTGCAGGGGCTTCGGCCGCTGTGTAGCCTGCACCCTGCCCTTGTTTGCACTGGTCAGTGCCGAACCATTTTGAACCCATTTGAAGTCCTGCTGTTTTTATCGAGTGAGTTTGGCCCTAGAGCAGTGTGGAAGAGGCCAGTCTGGTTCGCATCAGGTCACTCCCAATTCACATTCACAGCAACCTCCGTGTCAGAGTCGAACTGTGCCCCACGGGGTCACTAATAGCAGTGTTTTCAGAAGTAGATAGCCAGGCATTTCTTCCCAGGCATCTCTGGGTGGATTTGAACTACCAACCTTTTGGTTAATAGCTGAGTGCGGGGAGTGAGGGTGTGAGTGTTTGTGGAAGTGACGGGAAATATTTGCATAGTGAGTTGGTGGGAGCTGATTGTATAGAGATGCATGCTGGGTTTGGGTGGGGCACTTCCACCCTCCTTGACTAGTCTGTTTCTCACAGTGAATTTAGGGTACGGTGTGGACACCAGAGGCTGTTGTAGAGGCTTTGGAAGCCAGTGATGGGAATCCACAGTCAGCCTTTTGATCAGGCAGAATTTGGGGGTACAGAGTTCTACCTTTGGGGTCTGAGATTCCGGTCTGGCTGCTCTGACCCCTCTTGGTAGCTGGGTGCTCCCAGGTGCTGTTCCCCTGGACGCCACCAGGGGTCTCAAAAACTCCTCACAAACCTTGTCAGTCCCTGTAAGCTCGCCCTGGGCCAGAGAGCCTTCTCAGCCCTGCCCAGCTGAAGTGACCCAGGAGCAGGACTCCAGGCTCCGCCGGGCACAGGGAGGCCCAGACTGTACCCTCAGTATCAGCTGGGGGCTTAGCCCTCGGCAGATGCTCACCAGGTGCCTTTCTGAGCCCTAACCCCCTCTCCCCCCTTCAAGACAGCCTACCTGAGTGGTGGACTCTCCTTCTCTGGCAACACTGGACACACAGGTCAGAGCTTGGGAATGTGGCTCTGGCAGGGGGGAGATGATAGGAGGAGGCAGAAGGACACGTGACTGTTCCCCAGCACCTCCCCTTGTCTCTTGCTCTACTTCCATGCCCCTGCCCTGACCCACATAAAAGTGGACGCTGCTTAGCAGGGTTTGGCTGGGGCTGGTGGGGTGAGGGACAAGTTGTTCACAGGTGTGCTTGCACGAAGATTGGGGACAGGCTTGGTGCCTGGGTTGGCTTCTGGGCCAGATGGACAGGAGTAGGGAGGCAGAGGGAACCTGGGGGCCTTTCTGACCGGGTTCCCTCAGTTTGAAGAAGCCTCTGGAAAGAAGGCTGAAGTCTCACAGTTCTCTGACCTCAGGCCTGGTGAATACAGGGCCCACCTTAGTTCTGTAGAATCAGAGACTTGACTCGAGCAAGGAGCTTGGTGGCTTGGCCAGGTTCCTGCCCGGGCTTTTGTGTCAGAGGGGCACCACAGGAGATATTTGCGTTGGTGGTACATGCCGAAGGCAGCCAGGCTGGCATCTTGACTGCCTTGATGTGCCACCGTCTCCCCTGGGCAACAAGGCCCCCACGTGGTCCAAGCCTCTGCTGTGGGGACTCTCTTGTCAGGGTGCAGAGCTGTAAGGAGAGAAAAGGCAGGCCCAGCGGCTTGGGAATGAGCAGGGTGGCTAAATACAGCCCCTGCCCCTCCCCGCCCCTCCCCGCCTGCCCCGGCTCCCTGCCACCAGCCTCCAGCCGCTCCTCCTCCCCCTCCTCAGCCTCCTGCCCTTCCCCCAGGCCCCCTCATTTGGAGCCTCTGCAGGGTCAGCCGAGAAGGAGCGGGGATCTGGGGCTGGGCAGGCGGGCTCCTGTCCCTGGGGAGCAGGGCTGGGGTGGGCAGTGGGCTGTCAGCAGGAGGGCCTGGGGCCAGGACAGAGCCTTCGGGACAGGAGCAGGCTGGGGTCTCGGTGCAGAGTCTCAGGGTGAGTTGGGGTGCAGCTCTTCCTGGGTGCTAGGCCATTAGAGTTTGGGGTGGGGGAGCTAGGAGGAGGGGCCAGGGGGCTATGGCAGATTCATGTCTGTATTTGGCAGTTGGAGAGGTGCCAGGTCTGTAAGGCTGGGCCCCACGCCAGTTGCAGAGGGGGGCATCAGGGCCCTGGGGACACCCCTCCCCCAGAGCAGATGCTGGTGCCCCCCTTCTCAATCCCAGGCTGAGCTGTGCTTCTCTATGGAGGGCTCTAATTCTGCTTTCCTGTCTCCAGAGAGTTTTGGGGTCTGTGCTCTAGGCTGGGGTCAACAGGTGCCCCTGGGGTATGTGAGGCAGGAAGCTGAGAAGGCAGAGGGGGAAGGGCAGGCTGGACAGTGCCGCCTCATTGGCCTTGGCACTGCGGTCAGGATGGGGCTTGTCTGAGGTACGTGTATCTCTGTAGCAGGCCTGGTGCACCCAAGAATCGGGTGCCCCACAGACCTGCAGGTGATGGTTTGGGCTTCTCATCCTCTGCAGGATGTAGGCCCCACTCGAGGGGAATCTAGGCTCCCCCAAAGCTATGGGGCAGTCCCTCCGATGTGTGAGCCCTTAGCCTCCCAATACTCTTTGTGCTTACCCCACCCCACCCCCCAGCAGCATCAGAAGGCTCAGTGCTGAGAGAGTTCAGAGAGAGAGACAGTTTAGTTTGGGGATCCACACAGCAAGAGAGGGAGCCCCAGGAGGTGGACACAGTGCAGGGCTTCTGTTTGGTACCCCAGGGCATCAGGTTCCAGACTTCTCCATGCCTCTGCATCCTGATTTCTCTCTCTGAACCACTCTCTCCCCCCAGGAGGGTCCTCGTCCCCGTTCAGCAGCCCCATCACCTCTGACGAGGAGTACCTGAGCCCCCCCGAAGAGTTCCCGGAGCCTGGGGAGACCTGGCCCCCAACTCCCACCATGAAGCTCAGTCCCAGCCAGAACCACCGCTCCTCTGACACTGGCTTCAAGGCACCCCCTACCTTCAAGGTTAGCCCTGCTCCTGCCCCAGGGACCCCATGGCTCTGTATACCCTGCGTTCCTATATGGAGCTGCCGCAGTCAGATCATGCGCCAGCAGGGCCTCTGACGAGACCCCTTAACTCCCACGGAGCCAGACGCTGTGTCCTGCTTTCTCCATGACACTTTGGGGTCACCTTCCAGGTGTCACTCATGGACCAGTCGGTGAGAGAAGGCCAAGATGTCACCATGAGCATCCGGGTACAGGGGGAGCCCAAGCCAGTGGTCTCCTGGTGAGTGCAACCTTCATTTCTGACCTCCAGCACCCCCAGGCCCCCTTGCCAGGCTTGGCCCTGTGAGCCTGACTGTAGGTGACAGTGATGAAAAGGAGTGGCCCCTTGTGTACCCCAAGACTTCCCTAGCTATGGAGGTCACCAGATGCCTAGTTTCCATCCCCCAGCATGCCTCATGGGAGTCAGCCTAGGTGCACAGATGGACAATGCCACTACCCCAGCATTCCCTGTGGGGTCACCCCATGTGCATCCCTCACCCCCCACCCCCAGTACTCTCCTGGCGTTCAGGGTTAATTTAGCACATCCCCTTCTGGGAGGAGGCTTGAGTGCCCAGGAGCTCGCGTAAACTGCCAGGAGTCTTGCTCCCTGAGGGGGTGCCCAGACCCTTCAGTGGACAGAAGGGCTGTCTAGAGGCCTCTCTGTGAGCAGCCTGGGGTCAGATACAGTCACGATTTGTCACTGACCTGTTTGAGGCCCTGACGTGGTTCTCAGCCCTGACTCATCCCAAGGACCTGGAATGTCCTGAGCTCACTTGGTTTTTGTTGGTTTGGGCTCTTTTTCATTTTTTAAAAAAAATTTATTATTTTTATTACTTTTAATGAAAATTTACAGAGATTTCGGATTTCCATTCATTCATTGTTGCACTTTTCTCCCTGCCCACCTCTACCCCAATTCGTTCTTCTCTTTGAAAAGTAAAATTCTTTCATTGTTATACAATCCCTCCCTTCAAGTCCACGACACTATTTTTCATTTTTGATTAATTAGTTCTCAGAGTAACTTTTTTCTTCCAACATTATAAGTTAGTTACTTCATTCCCCTTTTGGAAACTGGTGGCATGGTCGTTGTGTACCGTTGCGTCGGAACCGACTCGTAGCTGACTCTGCGGTGGGTTTTCTGAGGCAATAAATCGCTGGGAACATATTGCCCATCCTTCTTTCACGAAGCAGCTGGTGGATTTGAACCACGTGCTTGTGGATTAGCAGCACAACTCCTTAGCCACTGAGCCACTAGAGCTCGGAGTAGGGCGTGGAGCTGCTAAGCCACAGGGCCCTGCCTCTCGGTGCTTTAAGTCCACTGCCAGCTCCTGGGGAGAAGGAGGGGGCCCGTTCTCATTCCATGTCATTTACAGCCTCGAAAGACCCTAGGGTTTCAGCTCTGAGTTGGTTCTGACTCCATGGCAATGAGTTTGAATTTGGCTTTGGTTTTTGGTTGTGGGGCTTTTTTGTTTTTCTTTTTTATTAGATTTTTGCGAAGTGGTTGTTAGGTAAAGATAGGGAGGAGTTTTTCTGGGGGACGATCCGGAGGCCACGGTGGTCTGGAAGTTCCTGGATGGGGGATGGCAGAGTCCGGTGGCACCCGAGCCCTGTAACCCAGGGGTGCTGGCAGTCAGGGTGGGACAGACTAGGGGCAGGGTGGATGGAGCGTGGGAGGGAAGGCCTCCTTCCTGCGAGAGCGGCGGTCAGACCCTGAGCCCACCCCTGCACGCCTGCCTCTTGCCTCCCACAGGCTGCGAAACCGCCAGCCTGTGCGCCCAGACCAGCGGCGGTTCGCGGAAGAGGCCGAGGGTGGGCTGTGCCGACTGCGGATCCTGGCGGCCGAGCGGGGCGATGCAGGCTTCTACACTTGCAAAGCGGTCAATGAGTATGGAGCCCGGCAGTGCGAGGCCCGCCTGGAGGTCCGAGGTGAGTCCCTCCACTTGGCACGCCCCACCTTGCTCCTGGTCCCCATCCTGGCATTAGACCCCATCCTGTCCCTACTGCCGAGTCACACGCGAACTCGCAGAATGCCAGACTGATAGGGCCAGAGAGCTTGCCAAGTCGAGCTCCTCATGCTGCCGTTGGGCGTGCTCAGACCCAGAGAGGGGAAGTTACTTGCTCAAGGTCACCCAGCAAACGGTACTGTGTGCGCAGGACTCTTGCACAGTACTGCCTTCTGCCTAGTCCTGCCTGCCTGCACACCCTGCTTCCTGCACTGCCATCCTGCCCCCACCTCTCCTGAGCCTTGTCACCCTGCTGTCCTCCAGATCCCTCCTCACAACCCCCCCCCCCCGAGCTGTGCAAAGGCCAGTGTGGTTTGGGGGCAGCAGTGGGGAGAGTTTGGTGCCTGGACCCGTTCGGAGGGGCTTTTGGGGGTGACTTAGGAATAATACTTCTCAGGGGCTCCCAGGTTGCCAGAGTGAACAGAGTAGAGCCATGAAATGTGAGGGGGCTGAGCCCCCAAGGTAGAGACATAAAGTTGGGAGCCTTTTGGGCGGTTGGTTGTTACGACCTAGCCAAACTTCCCCCCAAGGTTCTGCTCCCCAAGGAGTGACCATTTGCTCTGGTTTCCACTCTGATACGTCCATGCTGGCCAGGAAGGCCAGCACAGGGCTTCCCAAGATACCCTCAGACACCTGCTGGAACCCTAGTGCTCTGATCCCACCTACAGGTCCCACCAAATGTGCTGCCACCTCTTGGGTCTCCAGGTTCTCCATTCCCTACCCCGCCCCCC